AGCAACACCACTGTTTTGACTCGGTTTAAAACCAAAACCGAACCGTTGAAACCCGAAACCACATTCGAAAACGGTAAAACTAAACCACTGCATCGATCGGTTTTTGGAATGCAAAAACCATTACTTAAAACCATACCATGCACACCCTTGATATTATTGCCCAAATTATTTTTTTAGATCTAAATATGTATTGTTGGTAGTGGTAAGTAGCGTAAACGTAATTAAAAAAAATGATAGAAACCAATAAAACATAATGTAATGGGTTTGCATTGGGGTGCGTTTTAATGGGTTTGGAGTAGAATTGTTGCATCGATAGTTTATCTGTAGAGCTTGGTTTTCATATATTTAAAAAAAAAAAAAAAAAAAAAAAAAAAAAAAAAAAAAAAATATCGATATGCTTTTGACAATTGTTTATAAAAAATAACATGTTTCAACATTAAAGAATAGTAATGTTAAAAAATTAAATTATAACATTAGTTTTGGATTTAAATAAAAAAAAATAAGAAAACTACAATAAAGTCCTTACATATTGTCTTCATAATCGATTTAGTCATTATATCTTGTTTTGACAAAATTGCAAAAATGGTCCCTATGGTTTGTCAATTTCTGTGGGTAAGGTTCAAAAAAAAGTTTATTAGCAAAAAAGGTCCTTATTTGATGGTTTTGTTGTGGTTTTGGTCCCTACCTCGTTAAGTTTAACAACATGGCTGTTAACTTTTGGCAAATGACGGATTTACCCCTGGGACCATTTCTGCAGTTTTATCTTTTTACCAAACTACAAGGACCAATTATGCAATTTTTTTTTCATTTTATTGAATTATTATATATTAATTATTTTAATTACTTTTTTCTTTTTAACATTTTTCATATTGTATTATTTTTTTATCGGATTATTATATATTAACAAAATATGATTTTTAATATATTATATTTATATATTAATAAACATTATTTTTTTTTATTATATAATTTTTTTTAATTAATTTTTTTTTTGAATTTCTTCTTTGTTGCATTAATTCTTTTTTGTTGGATTATTATATATTAGTAAATATTATTTTTAACATATAATATTTATCTATCAGTAAGTGTTACTTTATTGGATTATTAAATTCATTTAATTATTTTTTTTAATTTTTTTATTTCGTTAATTCTTTTCATTGGATTATTATATATTAATAAATATTATTTTTAATACATTATATTTATATATTAATAAATATTAATTTTAATATATTATTATTATATATTAATAAATATTACTTTTTTTATTATTAATTTTTTTAATCGGTTTTTTAATTGCTTTTTAATTGTATTAATTCTTTTTTATTAGATTATTAGATATTAACAAATATTATTTTTAGCATATAATTTTATCTATTAGTAAGTGTTACTTTATTGGATTTAATTTTATTTAATTAATTTATTTAATTTTTTTATGCATTAGTTCTTTTTATTGGATTATTAATTTAAATTTATTATTTTTATTTCTAATAAATAATATTTTTCAATTGTTTTTTTTTCTTTTAATTTCTTTCAAATAAAAATACCAAAAAATCTCACCCACCCCACCTTCTCTAATTTATTTTAAATATTTGGAAGATAACATATTTTAGACAACACCACCACTATCACTCAGTCACAACAAAGCCTATCTATCGGGCCGTCTCCAACCCTGTTACTATATATATATAATATATATATATATATATTATATATATATATAGATAGATAATATATATCTATATATCTCTATATATCTATATATCTAGTTCAGTAATTATTCACGAAGTGAGATCATCGTGTGTATTTTAGTTTTTATGTATTCACATATATTTAAATTTGTTATATATTTCAATAAACTTATGATTTTAACTTATAATTTTAACATATATAATTTCTCTAAAAATATTTCCACACAAATTACCAAATCTGAGTATTCGCTACTCGGCGGTGGGCCGAACGAGTACCGAATAACAAGTTCTACAACTTTGTCACCACTTGTAGTGGCTATGGTGGTTTGAAAACCCTCGATCTAACATTGTCGTCATCGATGGTGGTATCTGTAATGAATGGTCGGCTGGAGGAAGTATGCTTTCTGGGGTTTATTTCATATTGTGTGGGTAGTCAACTGGTGTAGTTTTCGTCGAGAACGGCCGACTGTAATCGATGATCGATGATTTCCAGCGAGATGATACGACGACGCAAGGTGGTAAAATGCAACGAATGGAGGAGCTGATCCGGAGTGTTTGGTATTTTTATTTAAAACAATAAAGAAAGAAATTAATATAAAATAAAAACAATTAAATAAATATTAATTATTATAAATAAAAATAATAAATTTAAATTAATAATCCAATAAAAAGAACTAATGCAATAAAAAAATTAAAAAAATTAATTAAATGAAATTAATAATCCAATAAGTAACACTTACTAATAGACAAATATTATATGCTAAAAATAATATTTGTTAATATATAATAATCCAATAAAAAGAATTAATACAATAAAAAAGAAATTAAAAAAAGAAATTAATAATAAAAAAGGTAATATTTATTATTATATAAATATAATATATTAAAAAAAGAAATTAATAATAAAAAATTACAAAAAAATAATTAAACAAATTTAATAATCAAATAAAGTAACACTTACTAATAGATAAATATTATATGTTCCCAATCTTTATTAATATCTATCCTCCACCCACCAAGAATTAATGCAATAAAGAATAAATTCAAAAAAAAATAATTAAAAAATTACCTAATCAACACAGTAATATTTATCTATATATAAATATAATATATTAAAAATAATATTTGTTAATGTATAATAATCCAATAAAAATTAATATAATAAGAAATAAGTTAAAAAGAAATAAGTAATTAAAATAATTAATATATAATCATTCAATAAAATAAAAAAGCCCAAATTGCATACTTGGTCCTTGTAGTTTGGTAAAAAGCTCAAACTGCAGAAATGGTCCCAGGGGTAAATCCGTCATTTGCCAAAAGTTAACAGCCATACTGTTAAACTTAACGAGGTAGGGACCAAAACCACAACAAAACCATCAAATAGGGACCTTTTCTGCTAATAAACGTTTTTTGGACCTTACCCACAGAAATTGACAAACCATAGGGACCATTTTTGCAATTTTGTCTCTTGTTTTTATTAAATTAAGTCTCAAAAACCGGTAATCGTATTCAATTTAACTATTTTACCCAGTCAACACGTCACCCAACTTTTAAAAATTACATTTTTGACCCAGATTTCAAAATTTATTACAAATTTGGTTCAAAATTTACACTACTGGCCCCGATTTTAAATTTTATTACAAATTTAGTCCAAAATTAACCCTTTTGACCCAAATTTTAGAATTTTGTTATGAATTCATCCTAACTTTAGTTGTTTTTACAAATTTTTTTCTCAAAATTTTGTTTCGAATATGTTTTTTTCTTTATAAAATCATATTTATACAAAAAAAACATATTTTCACATAAAAAAATCTTATATTTTCTATATAAAACTTTTTTTAGATATATGGAATTGATGAGGTGATTATCAACTTCAAATGTTATACATTAAAGCAACAAACTAATATATTAATTTTACAACACTAAACTGTGATTTCCTTATTATAAGTTCACAAGTTCTTTTTTTTAGATACTAAAAAGACTAAGACGAAAGAGCCACAAAAGTTTTTGAAATGTCATGAGTACAACACATTTTTTACTAGAATGTTGGTTAATCACATTACTTTACTATCTTCTACGTAAGTGTTCAAGTAACCTTACTCCATGAAGAAAATCATGCATTTGATGTTATATGGAAGTCTTCAAGTACAAATATTTATGAAGCGTGTATTGTATTGAGGGGTTAAAAGTGAACCAACTAAAAATACAAACATGAAGAAATTATATGGGGTTTGTGCTCGTTGTTTTACGCATAAAAAGAATCAACACAAATTTTTAGCTAAAAAATGAAAATAATTTGTTTAGCTAAAACATCAACATACTTGTTTTTAACCTAAAACATCAACATACTAATTGTCAAACTGAAACCAATCGAAGTCCGATCAATAGCAATATGTATTTGATTTGTACTCCTTGAAATATGATACGTTTTCGAATAGAATTAATTCCTGAAATAAATTATTCGCCGTCCGTCGCATTGCGCGGGTAGACGGCTAGTGTGTGTGTGTGTGTGTGTGTGTGTGTGTGTGTGTGTGTGTATATATATATATATATATATATATATATATATATATATATATACTATGAAATAGGTGTTTTTTTTACATTTTTCATAAATATGAGTTAGCATAAAAATGTATTTATAATAAAATAGGTGATGTATACATTTTTTTTTTGTAAAATACGTGTCTGTATACATTTTTTTATAAAAAAGATTTGTATATATTTATATACTTAATAAATACCTATTTTTATAAATAGATACTTCGTATACAAAAACATTTTTTTAAAAAAAAGTTTTAATATAGAAAATATTAGATTTTTTATGTTAAACTACATTTTTTTTGTATAAATATGATTTTATAAAAAAAAACATATTCAAAACAAAATTTTAAAAAAAAAAATTTATAAAAACAACTAAATTTAGGATGAATTCATAACAAAATTTTAAAATTTGGTCCAAAAGGGTAAATTTTGGAGGATATTTGTAATAAAATATAAAATCTATGCCAAAAGTGTAAATTTTGGATCAAATTTGTAATAAATTTCAAAATCTGGGCCAAAAATATAATTTTTGAAAGTTAGTTGACCTGTTGACCGGTTAAAAAGGTTAAATTGAATACGATTACCGGTTTTGGGACTTAATTGAATAAAAAAAAGATATAAAGACTAAATTAATTATAAGACCAATATATAAAAACTTTATTGCAGCTTTCCCTAAAAAAAAATATATATGAATATGTTTTTGACAATTATTTATAAAAAGTAACATAAAAGTAATAGAGAATATGTGCAAAAAAAATGTAAAAAGTTGGATGTTAATTTTGGATTTAAAGAGTATCAAAATCGGCACCAGAAACTAGTATTATGAAGTGTATCATTTTAAGATAAGATAGCGATGGTATTTTGATGACACTTTAGGTACACTTGGTAATAATGGGATAAAAAGTGCAAATTATGGTGATAAAAATTTGCAACTTTTCCCGTCCCACATAAGAAATTGGGACAAGGAGTTTCTCTAGATTCACATGTGTGCAAAAGACGTGAATGCCCTCATTCATCACCATATTCGAAGATAGCCTCTCATGTTTCATGTAACAATCACAACCTAATGGCTTCTTATGGTACTTGATAGCAATGACCGGGACATAAAGGTTTGCTTAAAGCCATAAAAAATATAAAAAAATTTACAATTTACTTCAACAAGTGGCCTTTCTAGATTTACAATACTGGTATTGATACTTATACTGATAGCATTGAATTTTGTAAACCGAACCGAAGAAATTAGATTATCTAAGCAGAAGCCACTAGTGGGTGATATATATATATATATATATATATATATATATATATATATGACTTATTCAATGTCTTTCATAGCATCCTGCAAGCACCCATAATTTAGTTAATAAAAAGGGAATTGTCTTCCCCGAAAAAAAAGAAATCTGTTGTTAGTGCAAAAAGACATGAATGCCCTCCTCAAATAAAATAAAATAATTTGTCTGACCTTGGCTAAACGTGTGACATAGGTTGCAGCGAGGGCAGTTGCAAGTAATCCGGCACCTAGAGTCAAAAGCTGATTACTTCCCCCTGCCAAACCCAAATCCGATTCTTCTTGCTGAAACACAAGTAATAAGCATCACAAATTCCATTTAAATAAGGGCAACCTACTTTCACTTACAACATTGTATTTTCGATTTTTACTTTCTTTTCAACCCATTCTACTAATCATGCTAATGTACTTTACATTTAGTTTTCATATTTAAATAAGGGCTCAATGTTAACTAACACATGACAACTCATACTTTCATTTATTTGTGTATTATAGTTTCCTATTTTCATTTCTTTCTATTATAACATTCTACTTTCAGTTTTTCTCATTAAGCTTTGTACTTCCTTTTTTCTTTTTTTTCCTCTCTTATAAAAACATAATATTTTAAAAGAGGAATGAGGGGGTTCGAATCCCATTTGGCTTTTAGCATCCAAATAAGAGCTAATTGCAAAAAAAGTAGCAACTTAATTACATTTATTTGTGTATCCTACTTTCTATTACAACATTGTATCTTGAAAAACCTACGTAACTATAGCATCATACTTTGAATTTTCATCTCATTAAAACATTAATTACACTTTGAAAAGTTGACCCTCTTAGAGCAATGTTTACTATATTAGCTAACCAACCAGGTAGATTTTTCAAAGTACAATGAATGAAACTGAAGTAGGATGTTATAATAAACGAATCAATGGAAGTATGTTGCTATTTAATGCAGATAACCCTTTAAAGCAAAAGCCAAGTCATAAATTTATTGATGCCAGCCATACATTTTCACATAAAGAGAAAAGTACCGAATATAAGTTTTACTAAAAAATAATAATAATAATAATAACATCCACACTGTTGCTTTTAGACTTTGGATAGTAGATGATATAAAAGCATCATTCAAATTCATTACTGCTAAGGCAAGCAGCATGCAGGAGACTTTATTAATAATAATATAATTGGAGCATGATGGATTGGATTTGGAAAATAATGAAAAAAAAAACAAAAACTCACAATGATTGCTCGACCAAATGCACCCGCACTAACGTAAGCCCATGTTCCTGGTAGCATCCCCAGCCAACTGCATAACAACAATACATCACATCCTCAACAATCTTTTTATTACTTTTTCAACTCAACTCAACTCAACTATCTTCTTTAGCCAAAACATCACAAAGTATTTTCACTACTTTAGCCACAAAACAGAAGTATTGGTTTTTATTTTGATTTAACCACCCAACTATTGTTTTTTTGTTTTTTTTAGCTACTAATCCATCCTTAAAACAATCAGAAATAGTTTGGTGGCTTAATCAATAAAATGATGTTAATCAGTACATGAAATTTTTTAAAAATAAATCTCGATAAGATGATGGAAACAAACCTTCCCAAAACATATGGGACAAACTTGACTGATGTAAGGCCATATAAGTAATTTCCAAGAGAAAACGGGAGCAAAGGGCTCAAACGAAGAAGTGTCACAACTCTAAAACCATTTTCTCCAATTGCTTTATCGATTGCAAGGAATTTTTTATTTCCTTCAACCATTTTAAGTATCCGATCACGAGCAAAATATCTAGCAATTAGAAATGCAACACTTGCAGCCACCTGACAAACTCAAACTCAAAAGTTATTCCAAACTCCAAAACCAAAAATATTGTTTTACCAACTTACAGTTCCACTTATGGAGACAAGAATTGTGCCTGTAAATGACCCAAAAAGAAGACCCGCTGACATTGTCAGTGGGATCGCGGGGATTGCAAGTACCTAAAACAAAATTCAAATAAAGTTTATCTCTCTATCAAATCAAAAGGAAACCAAAAATGAAAAAGCAGGATTTTAAGCAGAACTGAAGACACAACACAACACAACACAAGAGAGGGCAGAGGGCAGAGGCAGGCAGCTACTTACCTCCAAGCCAGCATAAACTGCAACAAAAAGTGCATATCCGGCAGGGCCATATCCTGTTGGAGGAGGAATACCACAAATATGAACCTCAATTCCCTTTTAAAATAAAATAGCTTCTTTATTTAATCTTTTCCAATCAGAAACAACATATACAAACACACACAACTTTATTCTTTAAACCTTCATTCAATAAAGTTTTATGACTTACCTAGCAGGACGACTCGGACTGGAATTAATGTAACATCTCAAAACTCAAATCAATTTCTTGTTTATGCAAGACATGTGAAAACCCCTTGCAATCACATCATCAAAAATAGCCCTACAAACCTTATTCACTCTAATCATGTAACCCAAACAAACCTAAACACTTTTATTCATGAAATACCAAACTACATAATTACCAACATGCGTATGCATACAATCTCTCCTAACATGCGCTAATCAAGCATACTGCACCATATCATAAATATATATATATATATATATATATATATATATATATATATATATATATATATATATATATTCTTCTTGTCTAACCATGGAAATATAAACATGCCTATTTTTTTATAATGCATTCAAACATGAAACCTAAGTTTTCCTTACTCTTTGTGCATAAACTATCCTTTTAGCCTTAGACTTGCTTATACTTTCTACCTGAAATGGTACAAAGATTGATGAATTTTGTTACTTCTTTCTCTTGTTATTTTTCTAGTGCCATTGATTATGAGATGCCTAACAGCTATGATGTGGCTAAGGGTCATAAAAAATGGGAAAATTACTTGAGCTTCCTTTTTGCCTCCATTCTTCTATTACCATGTTGTGTACTTACTTTCTTTCTTCCTTCTTGAGAAGCCAAAAATGTGCTTATTATGTTGTATTCTCTAGTTTCGATTCAACATCATCCAATTTCCATCAAGCTCAAAACTCTTAACAGAACTTAAAGCAATAATCAAACTGGGAATTTGGAAATACTGGTGTACCTTCAATGAAGCTAGAAAACTGAATCAGAAAAGCATTGATCTGGTCTCTATAGATGTACCCAACAGTACCAAACCCACCAACAACACCCACCAGCAACAAACCAGCTAAAATTGTCCCCTTAATCGCAGTCTCGTTCTGATCATCATCATCATCATCATTTCCACCACCACCATCATCTTTAGGATTATCGTTCAAGTTCAAGAGTCTTCTGATGCTGCTTTGTGGCGGTGGGGCATTAGTTTGAAGGCTTCGTTGCTGTTTTTTGGTTTGTTTGAGGGAAGAACGAGGTGGGTTAATGAAATGAAAGCGCTTATTGAAGGGTCTAAAGCTAAAGAAAGTAAAGGAAGACGATGATGATGAACATGATGTAGAAGTAGAATAAGTTGAAATTGAGAAATGGAAGTTGTGTCTGGCAAGTGATTGAGATCGAGAAGGAGCAGAATATGATGAGAGGCACGGTGGCCTCGAAAGGATGCGCATTCTAAGTGGATGATTTCTGTTCAGAGTTCGATAAACAATGGATTCTTCAAGATAAGAAGAACAAAGAAGATGAGCGCTGTTCCTCTCATTTTTATACGGTTTATAGGCGGTACACCAATTCCCCAGGTTTCGGCATCACAAGTTTACCTATGCCAATTTTTTTTTCTAGAAGCCGAAAAATATATTTTTATTTTATTAGAAGATAGAAAATATAATCACCGGGTTTTCTACGGTAAAATCTTACTATTTTGAAAAAAAAAATTGATATAGTCCTAAATTATATTTTTCTGAACAGAGATTATTTTACTTTTTGAATAGAAAAACCTAAGAAACCGGCTAATTTCTGTAGGCCACGTCATCCAAATCTTCAGGAATCGGGTGTCAGTACGTGCATCGCGAGTGGCGCACGAGTGCGTACGGGCTCTGTTTTCAAAGACCTTTATTCCCATGTGTAGTTCTCAATGAGTACAACATATTCCTTTTAGTTTGTTTTGGTTAATTCTGACTTTTATTTTTAGCCCATGTTTTTATACCCTTAATGATTTTACAAAAATAATAACTCTCGTATGGGCTCCGTTTTGGCATTTTGATAGTTTCATTTTATTTACTTCTTTTTATAGTTTATTTTAGTATATTTCATTCATAATTTAGTTAATCATGCATATTTCCTTTTTTGTTATTTTATGACTATTTCAAATACTTTCTAGTTTTCTGAGAATAATTGAAAATTTCAAGAAGACTAGCGGAGCATAAATGTGCGGGTCTTTTGAGAAGCAATTGGACTTGGAGGACAACAAGAATTTATGAGATTGATAACTAGTGGAGATGATACAAAGTGAGGTAGGTGATGGATGGATCATTGAAGAAAGGTTGGGCCTTGAACTTGAAAGAAGACTAAAGAATTATCCGGGCTTGCGGATTGATCTCGAGCGAGGGCACGAGCTATGGATGATTTGGAGAAGACAAATTGGTTTTAAATTGAAGAAAAGTTGAATAACAATGTACTACAAACGAATTAGATTCGTTTTGGGCCAGTGGGCTACGTCATTAGAAACCCAAATCACAAATGAGCCCAAATCAGCACCACCCATGCGGCCTACCCGCGCAACAACATGCGGGTCGTCGCACAGCTCTGTAGGGGCATTTCCAAGAATTCTTATTTTGAGCTATATGGGGAAGGTTGGTGTGCTACTTTTGAATACTTCTTCACATCTGATTTTTGGAGCTTTTTCTCTGCATTTTGAAGCCTCAAGAACACCAAAAACACTTAAAGAACATCATCATTTTGCTCTTAATTCTTGCTATATGTTTGGTACTCTTAACTCTTATTTTGTTCTCTTGACTTTAGCCATGTTTGACTAAACTAATCTTGGTTGACTTTGGTGAAATTGCTTGAATGTTTGGTTGAATATTGAAGAACTTCATGAACTTGTTCTTAGATCTTTATGAAAGTGTTTTACATCTTAACTTCTTCTTGCTACTTATATGTCTTTATTCATGAGTTTAGATGTTTATGTAGTGATTAATTGGCTAATTTCTTGATTACGTAATGGATCTTCAAATTAGCAAGCAACAAATAGTTCTTGTGTTAGTTTTCACTTCACACAATCATAAAAACATTTTCTCCAACATGGTAGTGAAAGCATTTGACTCCTCTTGGATTTGGTGACTTGTTGGTTCTTAATGCTAGTTAATTTTCACTAATTACATGCTTAATGGAAATTATGACCTTAACTAAGGAAAATATGTTATGAGCTTCTCTAGATATTTCAATAACTAAGAAAAGTCTGGGTAACCTAAAGCTTCTTGGATACTATAGCCAGATAAGAGATTTATGACAAGTATTGCACCTTGGATTCTAATGATGTATTTACCAAATGTTCAAGTGATGAAACTTTAAGTCAACCATCTTTCTTCATAGATTTTACATTAAATTCTTACTTTTGTTTAATTGTGTTCTTCAAATCCAAGTTTAACTCTAGTTTTCTTTAAAAATATCAAAAGACTAAAACCCCCATTTTACTTTTATTGTTATTTTATAAGTATTTTACAAAGAGATTTACATTGAGTAACAAATTGAACTAATCTCTGTGGATTCGATCCCTTTACCACTATACACTATTTTAGTGTACAAGCTTTAGGGTTATTTATTTTGTTGGCCTCGACAACCACCATATCTTTGTTTCAAAATTCTTATCTTGAGGAGTACTGCGATCTTCCTTTTGGTCACTTTGGCTAAAACTCAACCGTTCTCTTCATAGCTTTTTACGTTGTAATTTTTTTATGTGCGATTGACTTTTATATCTTATAAAAATCATATCTCTTTCATATGAAGTCATATTTCTACAAATTTTGTATTTTCAGGCTTGTGTTGATGCGTATTTTTCCAGGCATGTTATCCAATTTGTAGGATATTACATCTTTTTGCGCTCAAAATTATTGGCCTTACTATTTGGTTGGCGGTGTATTTTCGAGTACAAGATTTTGAAGCTGTTAAATGTTATAACCTTATTCTAGTATATTTATGTGCATCACTATTTCGGGTGGTGATGCATTTTTCTTAGTTGTCACATTCTCCCCCCGTTAAAGGAATTTCATCCCCGAAATTTAACTTATGTTATTGGGGTAATCGTGTTATATTATGATGTTGCGTGATCAGTTTATAGTTCATAATCGTGGAGAAATATTTAGTAAGCGGAGTTAGCATCTTGGTGCCATATAACCTTGTATATTTTGTCCTATCGGGTATGTAGTACAACTCTTATTTTTCTGGTAATGTCAAAAGGGTTTGCTATACATGATTTGTACGTATTCCATAACTGGGCAAATAGTCAGATTTTGGTCTTACGAATGGAACAAATGGGAGTCTTCCTGGTATTATCTTTTTGGATGATTTAACCTCATATGTTTTTGTTTGTCTATTTTACACCAATAGGAAACCCAAGAATCTCTCAGGTTCTTCTTCTGAAGGTCTTTGTAGATGGTCATTATTCCTATCATCAATGGTGCTCATTTTAGAATTCATCGACGAACTTAGTCTTAGATTTTACATTACTTTTGTTGAGTGTTTGAGTCTCAAAAGGATTTGAACAATGTGGTCTTATATATTAGGATAGTAATGAAACATCCCAAAAATACAGACCAAAAATTTCATTTTAATTCATTAAGAAAAACCAGAGTTATCAAACATCATATAAAAATCATAAGTTGTGTATCTCAAAATATCATAAACATCTATCAAATATATCAGAGTATAAACATCTCATGCTAAACAAATGGTGTGTGTACTGCAATCATCCTGAGCTCTTCCCCTTGCTACCGGAAGTACCCGAAACCAAAACTAAAAACTGTAAGCACGAAGCTTAGTGAGTCTCCCCACACTACCACATACATATCATGCAACTAGGAGATACGGGCCCCGCCCACACTCAGCGACTATGAGATACGGGCCCTGCCCACACTCAGATACTATGAGATACGGGCCCCGCCTACACTCAGCTACTAAACATACATACAGGTATCACACAGACAACAAGCATAGCCAAATCTATCAATCAGTCCTATATACATATTCAAATAATGCTATGAGATACGGGCCCCGCCCACACTCAGCTAATGATGAGATACGGTCCTCACTCACACTCTATGAGATACGGGCCCCGTCCACACTCACATTCCTAACAACACATACATGTATCACACAAACAAGTATATCAATCCAACAATCTGACTGATATCTATGCTCAGGTAATAATGAGATACGGGCCCCGCCAACACTTCGTGTTCCTATCAAGAACATATAAACTACACGGGCCGGCATTGGTGCCTTAGACCCGTTCAATCCAAGAGGAAACTCACCTCGCACTGCAGACGATCCCTGGCTGCTGGCTGCTGGCTGACAGATTCCTGAACTGTCAACATCAAAATAAAACCCAATTAACCATTTGGGTTTCAATGCATCACCATAAATACACATTTGGTGTAAAAGGACCATTTCACCCCTAACATAGCTTGGTTCAAGATCAAGGCCCAACTCATACTCTGAAGGCCCAAAATTCAATTAATCAACTAAGGCCCAATTATGGCCCAATTTTCCAAATTGGGCCCAAACCCTCACTTGGGCCTTACCCTAAAGCCCAATCCAAATATTCTAGTCCATATACTTGTTCTTAGATGGCCCATCAATAGCCCAATCACCAAAGCCCAAAAGAAAGGCCCAACTCAAGGCCCAACCAAAATTAGGGCTTTCACATAAAATGACGATTAGGGTTAAGTGTTCTTACTTAACCCATTAAGGACTTAATCCATTAAGTACATCACTCTACTAGGCCATTCATACAATGTAGTCGGGCATAATTCAAATTTCCAATCTAACAGGCCAAACGCGGGTCCCGACAAATCCCAAACTAACATTTCCAAAATTAGGGTTTTTTAAACCCTAATTAGGGTTTCCAACCCAATCACAAACCAACTCAGTCCAAGATTAAGCTACTGGGCCGATTAGGGTGTCACTATGTCGAGCACCACCCACTGCCACCTCGGGCGGTGGTGATCGACGGCGGCTCACGACGGCAGCCACCACCTCACGGTGGTGGTGGTTATGATTATAGGCCAAAATAAAGACTAAAGTACCCCAAGCACCAATCCACACACACCCATAAACATGCAGCCACCGGAGATGGTTGCTAGCGGCGGCAAAACGGTGGCAGCCACCACCTCACGGTGGTGGTGGTGGGTTTTCCGGCCAAACCATCACACATACAACCTCATGAATACCAAAAATAGCAGTTACACCCAAATATACACCCATACACACACAACCACCTCCTACAGTGGCTGGTGGTGGCAAGATACGGCAGAAAGAAGTAGGAGTGGCAGCAGCCACCATGGTTGGCTGCCATGGTGGTCCAGTAGTGTTTCGGCCAACATCACCCGATATGTTACACTGAAATATACACACACATGGGCGGATACACTTACCGAGCTCATGTATTCCATTCCTGGAGGAGGGCGGCGGTTGAGAGATAGTAAACGAACTGTAACATCACCGCAACAGCGGCGACGTCAACGGCCGTTCCAGCGACTGCAAGGTTATCGGTCGGCGATGCCGGTGGCGTGGCA